TGTATCAAGTTATTGAACATATATTCTGTAGTATATACGTCAGAGTGATGGACTTTTCCTTCTTCCGGGCAGTATATTCAATCACGGTAAAGTACAAAATAAATAATCTGTCAGTCATTGTTTGGTGTCCTATCTGTTTTTAATACTAGTACACTGACAGGTATATGTTTAGAATCAGCGTAAATCAAAATCAGGGGTCTAATCAGTGATACGTGTGTTAACCCACTTCAATGTTATTTTAAATAAAGCATTCAATAACGAATTAATCGAATGAAAAAAACGGGGCTACTAAGGCTTCTCAGGCAGACAAATATCGTGTGTATCAAGTCTAAAGGAACGTCACTTTGTTTCCTCAATGAGATTTTTATATACACATCAGACTAGCTTCATATATATAATATCCACAACGTTTAAACATTGAAAGACAATGGCAAGGTCCATAGTAATACTTAAATCCGAAAGTATATTTTCGTTTTAACGCATGTTGTCGAATGTTATCGTCGCGAGGAATTAAATGGTACCAAGGTTAACCAGACAAAATTGTTAACGGTGCATCATATAGTATCAATTTCAGCTAAACCATCGATACAATGGAACAGTAGTTTGGCATTCTGATAGTAATTTTATGTATTACTCGCGTAGGTCATAGGTTTCGCACCCATGTGCTCGAAAATTTGTTCAACCCCTTACCATACGACCATTCTTCGACAAGTACAAGGCTCACATCCTCAAGAAAAATTTTATAAATAGTCTACTTTACCGATCTCTGACAAATACACATGCTCGTAAAAATCTATGACAATTAAATACAAAAAAGTTTGCATTACCTTATTCGAATGATAAAACAGTAGTATAGAATTTTCTCACATAGGCCGCAAGTTCCGCCCTTGCGCTCAAGAATTTTTTCAACCCTTTACCTAGGGACCGTTCTTCGGCAAGTACAGGATTTATCATCCTCAAGACCTCCTACGTTACACCCCTCGGAGTCCGAAGAAACCGCCCTCCTAAGTTCCGTCAATCAACCCCATCAAAGCTTCGCCCCACCTTGAACTATGAACGTCCACGACAGCATCTGTTCATTATCCGTCATTTAGCCCTTCTTGGTTCCCGGGTTAGGGGTCACAGGGCACGCCAGAGTAGCCCGATATATACACCTGGTCCCTTAATTTTTTATTATCCCCCGTGTAGCGTGCCTTTTCGAGGAGGCCGGAGATGTTCGCCCGGGGGTGATATAATGGCCCGTTGCGAAAGGCTTTTTCCGCGGCACCGTTGGTCGTCGCGCGTTCCGGAAAAAACCAAGGGCTTTCGGGGTTGTGGGTGTGCTGTTTGTGTGGCGTTGTTTACGCCGTTGTGTTCGTGGCCGGACGATATAGGTAGGGACGAGAGGCCACGGAAGGATCTGTCTTCGCCGGATAGTCCGGGTGGCTGGCTTTTTCTCCGTATCACGGCGTTGCCTGGTTGTGGAAGGATAGGGGGGGGGGGATGGCGGTTCCACATAGAAACGGCAAAACACAAGACACGGAGGAACGACGGTGTAGGGAGAAGAGCCTGAGGAGGAGGAGGAGGAGGAGGAGGAAGAGGTAGCCATGAGGCAGCGTACGGGAGGGAAAGGGCAACCGAGGTAGCGACGTCACCACGGAAATCAAGAGTAATGCCAACACGAAACTGCACTACCCCTCGCACACCCTCACCAACCTCTCCTTTTCTCGCTCCATTCGTTGTCCACCTATCTCTCTCTCCTTTCCACCGTCTCCGTCCGCTCCTCGTACCGTTTCATCCCCTTCTGGTCCCTCTTTTCTCCTACGGTCGTTCGTTTCCCTCGCACCACCGCTGGGTCTCTGTTCCCTTCCTCGAAGCTATCCCCCCCCCCCCCACCTTTACCAGTTCGTGCTATATGGAGCGACGAGCCGGGAACGAATAGAGGAGCGACAGAAAGCGTGGAGCGACTATATACGAGCCCAAGAGCTGCAGCTACCGGGAGGTACAGCTCCAATCCGAGAATTCCGCTCTTTTCGTCCGTCGAGGTTCTCTTCTCTTTTTCCGCCTTCTTCCGACAACCATCCCCCCTTCTTCTCCTCCCACACCAACTCGACCATCACCCTTGGAGTCGTCGCCATCCCCCTGTATCGCGGGGAGTAACGCGCGCATCCTTGAAAGCCGTTGACGACGAATAGAACCTGGAGCTAGATTTGTAAAAATAATGTTTCGAAAGGGACGACGGGAGCGCACGGAACTCGATGACTGTTTAGTCGAGACAGATTGGGCTTGTTAATCCTTTAACGTCCAGGTCCCTTAATCGTTATTAAAAAATATCGATATTAAACAAGTCTTTTCTTTTCTTTTTTCGTTATTTTTGGAGGGAATACCTGAATTTCTCAATTGAAAATGGGAAGATCTACTTCATATCAATGTAACTACGGATCTCTGCTGACAGAAATTAGATATTAAAATTTACGATACAAAAGTTTTACCCAGAAATACGACTCTGGAATTGTCCTTCCGCGAGTTCCGAAGTTACAAGTTCGAAGCGTCCATATTTAGTGGTTTACGATGCTTTGAGCATGTTATCGGCGAATCGTATTTGTTGGTCAATCGTCGCTCGTAAAGTCGCAGAACTGACCCCGATGATCCCTGGGTACGGAGAACGAAAGTGAACTGGTTTCTCGCCGAAATCCCGCTCCCGGAAATGTGGCCATTCGTATGATCGGCCGTATCTGTGCATCCTCTGTAACGGCCCCCAGAAACGTCTTTTAATATACACTATATCTTCGAAGGGCCTCGTGGATATCCCTTCGTTCTTCCTACCCCTGAAAATACACAAGTTGGTCGCCTTAAATCCATCATTACGTGTGTATTAACCTCGTTCGCCGTTCCCTTCACACCCTCACCTTCTCGATAAGGGTGAACGTTTCAGACGTTACCTTCGATAACTTCTGGTTAATGCATTTTTCATTTTTTTCTCTACTTACACAAAACGTGTAAGTCTTTAGATCGTGACAAAAAATTAATAGAGGTATAACAAAAAAGAAAGGTATATAATATAGAAGATCGTATTCGGGAATCTTTTAATACTAGAACTACCAAATCCGTCAAAATAACGGATAACAGATTTCCTATTTTATCATTATTGAAATTGTAGTGGTACCTTTGACGGAATTTATGTTTGCTTTTAATATTACAGATTTTATTTCATGGTATATCATGCTAGATTGTCTTATATATTCTGTATATATTTGTATTGTACAATTTAATTTAGTATACATTCAATGCTGGTAGTTCTAGTGTTAAACGAGCGATTCTTGGAACGTAAATGTTTATGTAGGATTAAATAAAGTTGAATACAACCGATTTGATGTAGTTTATTCCACAATACGCAGGAAAATAATGTAGTTTACACTGATATAAACATTATGATACACAAGTGAATGAAATTTTTTGTAGGTACGTAAATAAGAAAATGAAAGATCATCGAGAGATTCAGCGTGATGCAAATGAGGAGATAATTTGTCATTTCGAATATGGAATTAATTGAGCAATTTCTAGAAAGTAAATAAATAATATGTGATCGCGTATTATTGACGTTTTTGAGTTTGATTTCTCATTTACGAATTGTTATCGTGTATTATTCATATCTGTCAGTGCAGGTATCCACCTGAGATCTCTTCTGTTTTTGGAAAATATTCTTCACAGGAAATCGATAATTTGGCTAATGATGCTGCGGAACGAAACGTGTCATTTTTTCGTTTATTCTTAGCTAATAATGACGAGCTGTATCGAACGGTAACACCCGTCGCATATGGAAAAATAAAAATGATTTAAGAATCGGCATTATTTCAAACGGTACAGAAATGTTCCCCAAAAAATGGAAAAGGATGAACAGTCGGAACGTAGTCGATCGTGGAGCAAAGAACACGAGAGTTAGACCACAAGGAAGTGTGCACGCCACTGAACGGATCCTCTTTGCTTATATCGAAGCAGATTAAATTAATTTCGTTCAATTAATTGGAAGATTAAGATGTTTAGCATTAAGTGAAAGAGTCTAGTCCGTGTTATCCTACCCCTATCTCTTGGATCCACGTAGTCTTCCTCCAATTCCAAGCTTCTCACATGCTTTCGAAACTTCTGTTCACTTTCTCCTATGGTGTTAGTTAATTTTTTAAAAGTCGAGTAACTTTTCAAATACATTTAATAATCATAAATGTCAGTACAAAGCAAAGTAAGTTGTATGAGGCCTTCCATCTACCCCTTTTGATTCTCTTACCCTTTTCAATTATTTGTTCGCTTCCTCTTTTCTTCAGAGGACGTAATTGTTCAGGCGTATTTTTAATACTCATAAATGTTAAATACTTACATCTATAGTGATTTTATATGTAGTTCATTATTAAATGTTTCTGACGTAGTAAACTATTAGCATATTGAGAAGGAAACGGACAGAATATCTAATCAACGCAATTTTATTTACAAAAAAATAATTTTACAAAGAGTCCAATAAGTACAACACTTTGCCGATCTCTGATAAATACACACGGTTCTAAACGTCTAAGATAATTAAGTACAAAATTTGCATTACCTCGTACGAAGTTATTCAATGAAACTTCACGACATTAATGGAAAGAGCAATGATAAGATTAAGAGGATGAAGCGATAATAGCTGCAATATTATCAGAATGCATCGCCGATTCGGCTTCGTCAATGTTTTAAATGATAAAAAAAGAATTAATACAATATTATAAATTATAAATATTCGAGACTTTGGTGTTACAACGTCCTCTAGGGGTCAAGTTGAGAAATATCTTGCGGAGATCACATAATTCTCCATTTTCTACGTTATTAATCGTCGGTAAGCTCTCGTCACTCAATAAAATGATTCCACTTTTCACCGACATACGATATATTCTACGAACAGTCTACTCTATCGACATAGTCGGTCGTTACGCGCGGTCGGTAACGTCGAAAATGCGGGATACACTACATTAAAAACGGTAATACTACTGTTAATTCTACGAATTTCCATTCGTTATTATATAATTATTTCGAAGTTCGGACCTGATCAGCTCTGCCAATCTTTGTAGCGCCTGAAAATAAAAATCATATAAAATTAATGAATATCTACCGACTGATAGTAATGTTCGCACATTAAATTGACAATACAGACAAAAATGTGTGTTTAATTAATAAAGGAAAAGGAAATTAAAAATATAGTATTTCCAACATATATTTTAACTGTGGAAAAAGTCATAAACGTTTAAAAATTCGTTATAACTTACCAGATCCATTTCTTGGTAAGAAGCTTTAGCAAAACTCGCCCTGATAGCATTGCAAGGTTTACTAGGATCCTTCATGAAGGCAGCACCAGGCGCCATTATAACGCCTTCTTTGACTCCTCGCTGCATGATCATCTTCCAAGTGTCTGTGATGCCTTGCACTTTGATCCACAGAAAGAATCCTCCCTTTGGCTCGGTGAAGTCTGCCAAGCCTATGTAGAACACAAACTCTATGTCATCTCCTTTGATGCAATATCGAAAATTTAATTACCTCCGTATAATTTCTATACATCCAAATAACGTAATTATAAATTAACTATTATCGATCCTTCAATATAATTAATGAATTTCACTAATAGTAATTTAACTCTGATCTACAATCATTAAAAAGAACTTCTTTTATTTTTACACAATGAATGTGGTAAGTTGAATAAAAAGAAAATAAGATGTTGATTGTAAACGCTAAACTATCGGCCTGTTGATAATTCCTCATACGACAATATTGAATATCCACCAAGTAATGTTTCTCCGAACCAATAAAATAGAAATCAATATTCAATGACAGAGTGATTCGAAAAACACCACGAACAAGATTCGAGGGTTCGGGACAACGTTAATACGGTTAATCATCTGCCTGTTAATTCGCAATTAATACAAACCGTTCAAGTGTTTTCGAGCGAGCGTCGCGATTATGTCCCTGCGCCGCTTGTAGAAATACCTTATCCCCATGAAGTGGCTCATCAGTCCATCGTATCCCCAGACTTTCAACAGCTTGTACAATATCACCTAGAAACAGGGAGGGACGGGCGTGAAGAAATTTCTTTTCCCTCGTATAATCCAACAAGTGATTAAGACTCGATAAGTGTTTACATTCCCGATAACAGTAGACACGCGCCACTAGTCGGTACAGCTTACGCGCGTCCAGCGATAATTACGCGAAGCGTGGTAACCACATTGATATTTTCCATCGCGTTTCATCATAATTGAGGGAGAATAATATTTACGACGCCCATTCGACCGTTCTGGTATCACAATACACGCCGGTATCATTATTAAGCGTGCTGTGACATGCGATTTATTGACGATCGTGACAGTATCGGGCGAGCATAACTCATTGGCGCAGCTCTTTATTTAACGATTGGTTACGACACCTCGGCCTGGAAAACGTTTCGTTCTTGGGAACGTTGATTTCTGACACGTCCGGTAAAGAATGGCGCATCGAGGGTTGAAATAAATTAAGAAAATGATCGCTGTAGTTAGAGATATGTCTATCGATTTACAAACAAAATAAGGTAGAAAATAGGTGATTATTGATTTAGAAATTTGACTAGGTTCAAATTGGATTTTTCTGGTGGTTGTTATCAATGATTGATATTATAGTACGTAGTTTGTACAAGGATTTTCTTCGAATTGATGGGGGTGTATAATAATACCGGTTGCTGGAAACATGGGGCAATAGGGGTTAAAACAACCCTACCAACCTGGGATAATGTAGGGGCATGAAGATGGCTGCTCTGCAAGTGGAGTTCTATGCTCACGATCAATGGCGCGGCGGCTGTTATGAATCCCAATCTAATACCGCTGCTAATCACTTTCGAGAAGGAGTCCACTCTGATCACTCGGCCTTCTGTGTCCAGTGATAAGAATGACTTTGGTTCCACCTGTGCATAGAAAAGCAACGATTGACGTCAACAGCACCTTTTCTTTATTCCACAAACACCCTCTTAATTTCTATGATCTTCTAATAACATTCAGAATAGAAAACATTTCATAGATAAATTTACGAAAACAGGAGGGAAGCAATTTTCATTTGTAAATTATTAAACATAAAAAGAAATTATCATAAACAAAAATGATCATAAAAGAATGATTATTTAACTCGGTGGTCTACTATTCCTTGCAAATTCACAGTTTAACCTCTTGCCTTACGATTACCTTGACATATTCCGTCGCCAGTATTACTTTGTTGTTGACAGTTTCCCAGAAACGAAAGGAATTCTCTACTTATGGCAACTGTACATTTACTGTACAAAGTTGAATATTAATACCATAAACGTAATATTTAACTTGGACTCAATGAAAACGAATAATGTTTATATTTGCTGTACCGATTTCGAAATCTTCAAATCGAGTCTGACTCGATGTTACAAGGCAAGGGGTTAATTATCGTTTATAAAGGAGAAACGTTACTTACATCTTCAAAATGCATGAAGTGGTAAGGATCGTCGTCGAGAATCAGGAAGTTGTACTCGCAAGCTATCCTGTAGATTTCTTTCCGTCTTTCCAGCGGGATAACGACACCGTTGGGGTTGCTCCCCGTGGCATTTATATACATTATCTTCGGCATTCTCTTTCCTGATAGCTGCCTACTCCTCAACGTTTCCCTGAGAATTTCTGGAACGACGCCTTGCTCGTCCTGAGGGATGGCGATCAGCTCTGCCTGATGGGGCGCTACCTGTAATCGAGAAACGACGCTTTTTCCGAGTCCATTCAAAATGTAAAAAATATTCAGGAAACTCTGACATCGGCTCAGATTACGTAAAGCGACTTCTATTCGATGGCTGTGTCATCGTGATTATGGGCAACGTGATCGAATTGTAATGAGGACTGATTATGTATTTTACGTAATCCGCGCGTCAATGGAAGCAGGAAGAGTGGATGTCTCGAGAAATTCGATAATGATGCATATTTAATCTGTCGTTAATCGAATGCACTGTTATTTCCCCTTTAAACTGGTTCGCCATGATGTAATTGTCCAAGTCGTTTTATTTTGACAGTGAAATTGGTTGTATAAATTGTTGATAATTTCGAGGTAGAATTGGGAATTCAGTACGAAATAGATAAACGCGATTAATTTTATAGAAACAACAGGGTGCAGTAAATCCTCGATGAATGTTCGAAGGCTCCTTGGCACTGACAAAGAGAGATTCGCAGGTGTTACGCTGACTTTTTAATTAGATTTAGTATAGCGATAGAGCTTGGATTTCTGAAGCCAATGATATTTGTTTCAGTCGCCTATGGCCATTAGTTTATGCAATATTTAATGTTCAGTGTCGAGGAGCCTTCGAACACTCATCGAGGATTTACTGTAATGCATGTATCAGCTTGTCTCGAAAGTGTTTTGTCACAAACGTTTTACTATATCGTTTCGATTCGTACCGATATTACGATCCTCAAGATCGTGGATCCGCGCAGAACCTTCCAGTTTCATTGTGCCTGATATGTTTAGGCCTCAAGGAACGTTACTTCCACCATTTCTATCCATCAAACATGTTTACTATATAATAAACGTTACATATAGCAAGCAACTCCCCTTGAATATTCTGGAGATCTGTCCTTTTCTCATACGAATTAAAAAATCGAAGATTTCTTAACGAAAAGAACCATTCTCAAAATTGAGCCCTACTTCCTGAAGATAAAAAATTGAACTTGGGTTATCAATCCTGGTACACCGATGTCAAAACGGAATATTCGGTGAAACTAGTTAATATCGTATTTCTTTCACCTCTCGAAAGTTCGTCTGTTATATGTTGTTTTTTACAAACTCGAAATAAAATCGCGAAGATGGTCGAGGACGTATAGAAAACAGGCGAGAATTACTGACCACCACTTCCACGCCGGGATAAAAAGGATCGTGCACCAGGAGCGGATCACCAGGACCGATTATAGCCTCGAGAGTTTTGCTTAATCCGTCCTGAGCTCCGGAGACGATCACAATGTCGCGGCTCTCCCACAAGGGAGGTGCGTGCGCCCTTCGCTGGAACTCCCTCAGGCACTGAAACCAATTTAATATCCAACGTCGTTAAACATATTGGGGGCAATTGCATTACGCTCGGGAAAGAAAAAGAGGAAAAAAAGTTCTAGTGACTCGAGAGGAGACGCGGGATAATCTGACGCACGTGGTCGATCGTAAACGGGAATCGTTCCCGGAGATTGTTATCGTGTCTGTGATTTCATTGCGCCATAATGGACAACGAATTTGGGAAGTATGAAATCATCGGTCTATTAATTAGATAGCGTCACTTCGAATACTATAGTATTGTCGAAATAATTCTATACAAATAATTTCTTGTGCACATTTGCATCATTGAGGTTAAAAGAAACCTTTTTCCTTTTAATAAATTGTATGACTTGAAAGATATCATTCAGGAAATAACAAAAAGTCAGTTGACACTTGCATAGTATTATTCGGAGTAGAAACGATTTTTATAATCTGGGATTATTATCCAATGTACATGTTTCTACCAGGATCCTTTTTATTTGAATAGGTTTTATTAAAATTCTCGTTATTTTCAAGGATAATTACACTAAACGTTATTCAATGTGTTTAGAATATTCCCACTTGACATGCATAAAATTTTTGGTTTAATTAGAGGGGCGTAAAGATCAAAGAGCATAGATTCTTGCTGTAACTGGTATTAATTATTAATTAATTACCTGAAGAAGTGGCGGGTAGCCCTGTGTAGGGATGTACTGGAGCGCAGCGCCCAGTTCCCTTTCACTGAGGGTGAACGAGGATCCGTCGTTAAGTTTGATGGAAATTTCAGTGAAAGGGAACGTTTCTTCATTTGGCATACCTTCCGCCAGGGATACCACATTTTTCGACGCGGAATACGCTATTTTCGCTGTAAAATATTATCGATGATTAACGTTCAAACCGCAAAATCCTGTTCTCTTTTCACTGTTGCTCGCGATTAAAAAAAAACGGTAACATCATTTTTTAATAACCTTAACGATGAAGAAAATGATTTTTAATTTTTTTCATCAATATAATTATGAACAAATGACCTTAAGACGTTTTTCTAAAAAACGATTTTTAATTTTCTTACTCAATTCCCTGGTGGTTGCGGATCTCCTCCGCTTCGAGACGTCCGTCTTGAAAGTCGAGTAATCCATCCCGAATTTCTCCTTACTTTTATGCATATTTAATGCCAGGTGGTACGTTCACTGTCAGCGATCCTTTCAAGCACTCACAGTTCGATATTGCCGCGAATAAAATATCAATTTACTAAAGGAAATATAAAAACTTTCGCCTCTTTTTATTCTTAGATCTTTGTTACGTATTTATAAATGTACTTCGGTGACAAGGAAAAACAAAAAAACAAGCCGGTTTAACGACACACTCTTCTCAGTGAAATGCTAACGCGACAACTATTAACAATGACAGCGCGCCCGCGTTCAGCCGGCTTTTATATTTCGCGATAGCTTTGGTTGCGTCAGATAACATTCGCGTATTCGAAAAGGAATACACGGGCGTCGTTTATTATTTAGATATTAGACGTCGACTATTTACCGCCTAGTATCGTGCACGATAACTTCCACGATGGCTGCAATGTCTGGAACAGCGATTTGTTATTAAGTTAAATGACTAAGCTCTAGAAATATAACACACATTGTTGCAGTAAAATAACATTTGCTTGTGTCGCATTTTCAGATAGTCGTCCGAAGTCGAATGCGAAGCATCGTGCTCGAGTAATAGAACTTTCATTGTGTACGGTTTCGATCCATTCTTTTCGGGGTTATCTCGTTCGAGCGCGATGATTTGATTTTTTCCCTTGAACAGCAGGAAATTTCAAGTGGGAAAACCGTATTAGAAGAATCGAAGTTTTTAAAGTGGTCGATGGTGTGACGAAAGAATCTGTATTATTCGTCGATTATGATGTAATCTAATGTAATCTTACATCGGCATGAATGAAGAACGAAAATGACGACGACACTGACCCGGTTGTTTAAATGCCTAACGATTTACGTAAGAATGATTTCCCGGTAATTGCACTCACCCTGCACGTGCAACGCCTAGAACGCCATTTTGAATCGACGCAGCCCATAGGGGAATCCAAAAACAATGATTATCGGGAAAGTACGATAAGTCATGCTCACGATTACGTAAAAAGACTAAAAGTGTCTTAAACAAATACTATTGAAACGTTATAAAACTGAAAATATGAAATATATATTTCAAAATATTGCTGGAGCTTCTGATCCTTCTAGTAGATAGCAATTTGCATTCAGTTTCTGAGCATGTATTAGACTCGTTTTTTAATCCTTGGTAAATGCAATAAACAGAATTTATGCAGTGACTTAACATCAATATATTCAATTGATTCTGTTCGATTAATGGATGACAAACGGAAACAATATGAGAGTTTCGTTCTCAAGTTCTTTCGGTTCATATTATATTGTATTAGTTCAGATGTATGTTACTTATAATCAGCACACAAACTCCAACGAAATTTGAGAAGGCGTGTTGCACCGGACGATAAATACGATTTCGGGGCGCGGTCCTCATAAATGTCTTGTTACGAAATTAATCTGAGGAATGATGTTTTCGTAAGCAATTATCTCTACATAACAAAAACACATGCATCTTCGATCGTTTCTCCGAGCGTATCAGCGTCCTAAAAACGCGATGGAAACCCTATTTTTGCTCAGGGAGAACGAAATGGAACTCTTTCCTCGATACAATACCGAGGAGTTGGATACAAAAAACAATCGATAGATTTTCGCGAAATCGTCGAAACATCGGTAAGAACCAATGGCAATTCGATGATGGGTATCGATAAATGTCGGATCAAATCCCATCGTCCTGAGGATCTTATCGATCATCGAGTGTCGGTTAATGGCTCGAAACGATCCGAGAAGAAGGACGTTTCACGGATAGCGATTTAATGAACCATGACATTTGCATCTCTAAGCCAATTAATCTGCCAAGATAAATTCCCTTGGTTTCTATTGGTCGTTCAGCTGACGTATAACGTATATCTCGGAACTGTTCCATCCCACCATCAGAATCTCGGGAGCACGCTGCTTTCTTTCTTTTTGCCGATCGCTAATCTAACGATGAAAATTTCGTAAGCGTTATTCTGATGCAAGAAACGAACAGAATTTACGCGGCTGCGATTTTTCCGGCGGGGACGGCGGCGACACTTGGAAAATAGCCGTCCGTCATTTTTAGCGGCCGGCGACCTCGGGGAATTGGGAGACTTCGGTTTCGATTAATATTTAGGCCTTCGATTAATATTTACACCTTCGATTAATATTTAGGCCTTCGATTAATATTTAGGTCTTATTCGTATATTTCTTTAATTTAAAGGGTTTATTTTGGTCCATTTCTTTTACTTTCTTTTCTTGTTCGATCATTTATGAACAAGCTGTAGGGTATACGGAATACTTTACATCTTTCATAATAATACCGTCATGGACCCAATTCCTGATCAGTTTAGTATATCGTTACCATATAATAAGTTTATTATAATAAAGGTTATTGTTCAAAAAGTTATTAAATAATTATTAACTATTTTGTAATTTATACGTCAAATTCTGTAACTCAGGATGAGATACAGACATATGATTTAGGTGATCAGAAATTGCTCCCTTCGAACTTACCTTAAAAGTTAAACTCTAATTTTGTATTACTATTTCTGTACTTTTGCCAATACCAAATTAAAGATAGAACATAGATTTACTCGAATAGCAACAATTCTTTTGGATTTGGTTAATTTTTCTACTTACACGTTAAAGAAACTGCGATACATAATTACTCTTAAGGGATCAAGAATTGTGTCCGTAACGATACTGGACTCATATTCCTTGTTTCAGTCGGAGTTTTCAGTCGGATAATTGGTGATAACTGGAAAGAATTGTAGCATCGGGCACCGTTTAAACCGAACATAATAGTCCAAAGAGATTGTGGGATGATGGTGATGAAAATAATTTAAAACGCACAAACCTGCAATAACAGGACGGAAAAATATCTGTTTTGACACTATTGGGATAACGCAGTCTCGAGTTAAAAACGTGGAAGATTTCACTAACGTCATCGTCGTTTGTGTTATTATCTACTTCTGTACACTGGAAGCTCCAACTTCGTTAGATTACTTCATTTAAAATTACATCGCTTGTCACATTTACACTGGATTCTAATTAACACTTTCATTGGATTTCTTGACTTTTAATCCTGCAGTTACCTGAATTTATTCATGTAGCAGAGAACTTCTTAGTGTTCTGATGTATTGTAATGATATTTAAGATAATAGAAGTTATAGGGATAAATTGAAGTTAACATTTATCTTAAGAGTAATGTAATCTTCACTCTCGATATAAACAAATACCACGCGTATCGAAATGAAAGAATAACAGACTGCATAAATATGGAAAACGCCCGAAAAATTGTTATTATTCATCTCGTTGTGACGGATTCAAGGTTACTTTCCATCGAAACTACATAACGCACGCAATCGGGGTAAGAAGATATGCATATCAATTCGCAGGAACTACTTCTCACGATAAAACTGTATCGACTAGATAAGGACAAATTATTCACGTTTCGCTGATTTTAAAAATCTTGAACTTTAACCCGTTCGCGCGAACGATTGCAAGCATTCAAATTTTCCGAGTTCAGTGACGCTTAAATGATACGCGATCGAACGGAATCGGAATAAGTACAATGGAACGGCCGATTACAACAAACTAGCCAGATAATGTCAGTCCAGTGAGATCCTGTTTTCAGCTGTTGCTAATGAATCTATGCGGACGTCATGCGCGATAATGGAGGAACGCCATAAGACGATGATACACGTTAAAGGGAACAAAACGCGTACACAGACGGGTTATCGATTCTCCTATTCATTAAACGCATCTGTACGATAGTAGTAATAAGAGTTGTTTTTGTTGCAATCGATTAGTGGCACGTGTCACTTTCGACGATAAGCTGTGCAAGTAATTAGCAATCCTTTATCGGAATTGACATAACTATATTTTACAGAATAACACTTTGTCAGTTATAATCGTTAAAAAAACAGCTTCCTGGAAGGTACATCAAAATATCAAACACTGTGACTAATTCTCAAGTGACCACTTCCGTTCGCCATGCGTTATCCTTACGTCAGGACTCCATTCGACGATCACGACAGTAGTATTTTGAAAACAAGAGGTGGAATAACAGAACTCGAGTCACTATCCTTCGAGTATAACAATTATTAATGAAAAGTTATCGGTAATCGACTGATACGGACAGGTTATCAAGTTCACGAGCGACAAGCTTGTAACGACAAAGTGGAAACGTCACAGTGACGTAATTGATTGTTTCTTTTTTTTTTTTACCAAACAGAGCCAGGTTGAGATTTTTTGTGCGTTCGGAATTTTGTGGAGGAATGAAAACTTTCAGTTTATTTGATACTATGACCGAAGTACACTGAACATTACATCAGTGATTTCACCCAGGGCCCAAAACCAAGCCGCCCTTATTAATTTAATATTATTTAATTAAGCATTTGGTATGCAGTGTTTACTTTTGTATGTATAATAATAATAATAATAATATATTTATTTTAAATAGAACCATTCCTTTCTTAAGGATCTTTGTTTGATTTTTTTAAAATAAAAATAAAAAAATATTCCTTATTTTCATAAAATGAAACAGATACTTAAAAGATTAATGGTTTTATGAAAAATAAATATTTTATTCCACATATAAGTACGAAACTAATGGTTGATAAATAACGACTCTTAATTACCTACAGGAATTTAATCCACTAAATATAGCTAAATGTCATATGCTATTTTAGGCTGTCCATAAAGATAGTTCCTTCTAGTAAACGAGTACTGTTACAAAGATTACATATGCAATGAATTTGATTAAATTCTGACTGTCTAAAATGTTCATAAGCATCAGAAAACTTTTGATTATTATTCTTACCAGCCCAAGTTTTACATATAATAAACGATCTGCGGCCACCCCTGAGTTTGGCCACCCTAGTGCGAGGGCACCTTCTGCACCCCCGTCAGGAACGGCCCTGATTCCACCCACAACCAATATGTATCAATCTGCTGTTCGATTCTTGTCTAGTTTAATTTTCACTTTGCATGATGCAATGGTCAACATTATTTAATATCTCTGCGATAATTATTTATACATATTCTGC